TCCATCCTTGTGCACAGGTGCGGCTCTGTCCATCCTTGTGCACAGGTACGGCTCTGGTATCCCTGGACCTTTGCAGCCACTGTTCTAGCCAATCACCACCCCACTCCCCTTATTGCTTTGCTTTATTGTTCCATGAAGATTTCTCTAATCATTTTGGAAATAGCATCTCATACTGTTTCTTCTAGAACTGTGTTAACATCTGACATTTTGTTATTTGTTTATTAATTACTCATTCATCCAGTACAACATATGCCCCAGAAAGCACAAGCTTTGTTTAACTAATTTTAGGTTGTTATTAACTACACCATTTTGAAGGCTAATAAAACAGTTTGTACTTGTGGTAATGTACTAAGAAATGTATTTGTTTAGAATGGGGCATAGCTGAGTTGTGACAGAGCTTTCCATGCACACATAAAGTCCTAGGTCCTATCCCCAGGACACGTGTTGTGTGAAAACCTGGAATCACAGCACTCGGAAGGTGGAGACAGGAGGATCAAAAATCAAGGTCATTCTCAGCCACATACCTAGTTCAAGCCAGCCTAGGCTACATGAGACTGGAAAAAAAGGAGAAAGGAGAGACATTTATTTTAACGTAATTTTATTTATGTATTCATAAACTCAAAGAAATTTTCTTGGACAACTGCATTAAATATACTCCTATTTAATAAAAACAATCTTAAAAATATGCACAATCTTGACTCAGTTATCAACTAAAATCTCTGTACTTAATTTAAGAAATAATTCAGTTTATAAAACAGAAGCACGCACAGAGATACCCATACAACTCTTGATATAGTATAAAAACTGTGGGAAAATATGCATTTAAAATAGTTATCTGGATGAGAATTTCTAATAGCTTTAAAAAGGAATTTAAGTTCTGAAAATGTTGTAATAAAAGACAAATTACTGGGAGGAAAAAAGCCCTCGTTCTTGGATAGAATAGGCAAGAAAATTCCACACTGTAAAGTGTGCACGTCTGTGTGCATAAGGTTAGAAAGATGCCTTTAGACAGTTAATGGCAGAATGACAGGTGCTTTATTGTTGCTATTGTTACCATCACCATCACCACCACCACCACCACCATCATCGTTATTCTTTTTCCTCCTTCCAACACCTCCCCTTTCTCAAGCCCCATCTTTGTCCCCTCCTCTCTCAAGTTCATAGCCTTTTCTTCCTTTGATTATTATTATTACATGTATGTAATTCAGTGACATATATATATACATACATACATTCATATATACATATATACATACATATGTATGTACATACATACACATACACAAACCTGCTGAGTCTGTTTTTGTTGTTTGTGTATATTTGGTTTCAAGGCTGACTACTCTGCATTAGACAACAAGTAAGAGACTCATTCCTAGGAGATGATTCTCTTCTTCCAGCATTCATTAGTTACTGTAGTTCTGTGTTTAGGAGTGAGACCCCATGAAATTTCCTCCTTTCCATATTAACATATTCATTGATAGTACCATTTTCTGATCTGTTTATACAGCTGTTTCCTAGACTCTTTGCTTGCAAACTTCCTGATATTCTGGCTCTCATGATCTGTCTGCTAAACCATTGATATAAGAGCTGTCATGCAGATGTATCTGTTGGGGATGGACTCCCCGATGATCCATTGCTGTCTGTATTGTGTCGAGTTGTGGTGTTCTAGGATCCTCTCCTTTTGCTGTACAGAGAGGCTTCTTTGATAATGGCTGGCAGCTACACTTATCTGGCAAAGGTGGTTCATGTACCTTATGTAATTATTTTTAATACATTTTATAAAGAATGTTACTTTTTCTTATTTAATTTCTGTTACACATGTTTTAGGGTTGAAGGAGTTATCCCCTCTTCCTCTGAACCTCAAACGCTTATACAAGGAGACACTGGAGATTGAGCCCATTTTGATCATAATCTCCCCGGGGGCTGACCCTTCTCAGGAACTTCAGGAACTTGCTAATACTGAAAGAAGCAGCGAGTGTTATCACCAGGTGGGTAGGAACTGCTCACTGGTTTTGTTCTGTCTTTTGTGTTCTTCCCATGCTAGATCCTAGATCCAATCAGGGAAATGGACATTAAAAATTATGTGTGAGAAGCCAAAAGGTGCCTATATCCAGAACTCAAGCCTAGCAAAAGTGTCTTGTAGATCTAATGAAGAACCTTGAGATGGGAAAGCTATTGAGTTATCTATCCAGATAAGCCCAGTGAAATCAGAAGAGTGTTTTAAATGGAGGCAGGGGATTGGATGTGAAGGTTCAGGATGTGAAGAGGGAGGCAAAGGACAGCGGGGAAGAAACAGGTCATCGCCTTGATGTTAGATCAGCACAGCTTTTCACTTGCAGGAGTTCTGAGGTAACTTGCGATAAGGCTCTAAATACTGTGTTTACTTGTTAGAACACAATAGGAAATAGATACATTTAATTAAAATTTGAGAATGGCTCTAAAATTTTTAATTAAATGCTTTTATAACAAATGCAGTAATATTTTCCTGAACATCTCATGGCTTAAAAGCAAAATATTTTGAGCAAAATCCACCCAGTGGCATACTGTCTTTCTTAAAGAATGAATTTTGTTCATTTTCTTAATCTTTCAAGTCAACTTGCATGCAGGTTTGAAAATGAATTTATAGTTTATAACTTATAGTAAGGTTTTGGAAAGGTAATAGGTCTTTTTCATTATGAACACAATAATTTAAAAATTCAAATACTTCACACCCATTAAAGTTTAAAAAGTAAAAATTCTACCAGAGCATCTCTGGGTGGCTGTAGGGTTTCCCTGACAAGCTCTTGGCTTTCCATGCAGTCACTTGTAAAATAGTATGAATTTATATGTGGTAGAGTATCAGAAGCCCTTCCCACAGGTTCTCCCTGTGACCTGTGACATAGACAGGAAGATAAAACTACACATCTGAACTATAAATTGATGTTTTTTGAAAATATGATTAATTCTTGGTATTTGTTTTTTACTTTTCTTAAAATCTTTATTTTAAAGCCAGTTATGGAGGTTTGGAAATTATTATCCTTAATCTCTGACAATGGTATATTAGAATGTTCTGACAGATATTTTTCCCTGGGTTTTGTTTGTGTAGGTTGCTATGGGTCAAGGTCAAGCTGATTTAGCAATTCAGATGCTAAAAGAATGTGCCCGAAATGGAGACTGGCTCTGTTTGAAGAACTTACATCTTGTGGTGTCTTGGCTTCCAGTTCTGGAGAAGGTAGTATTATAGGGTCTCTGTTGTAAAGAGATTCCATGACCACGGCAACCAGGAAACATTTAATTGGGACTGTCTTTCTGTTCAGAGTTTGGTCCATTGTCATCTTGGCAGGAAGCAGGAAGAGAGAGTGAAACTCTGGGCCTGGCTTGAGCAGCTGAGACCTCAAAGCCCAACTCTAGTGACACACTTCCTCCAACAAACAAATCCACACCATCTCCAACAAGGGTACATCTCCTAATAGTGCCACTCTCTGTACACTTATGGTGGCCATGTTATCAAACCACCACAGGTAGATTGAAATGAGTGTGGCACAGTACATGAAATAACTCAGTATATAATTTCCAAGCTGCATCAGTGTTCAATTGACATGTGTTGTTACATTTAGAAATTAAGTATGTGATAAGGAATATTTAAGGCCAATTCATTTTTTAAAAATATATGTTTGCCAAACAGAATTGATTTTTTTAAAGCAAGAAGTCTATAGAATTCTGTCCTATTAAGGGATGGATAATGGAAGTCAAAAATTTGTTGATTAATGAGCTGGAGAGATAGCTTAGCCAGTAAAGGGTAGACTCACAACCAAAAATATAAGAAATAGTTGATTAAGCTGGGCAGAAGAGATTAGTGAATTTCTACAGGAGAAAATAAAACGTGCTGTGTTTGATTGCAGAAAATCTGTTTATACCATGCACTTTATGTACATGTTTTGTTTCCTTTCTCAGGAAATTACAGAGATTTTAGATTCTTAAGGAAGCTAAAATGCACACTGAAGGAAGTGTAAAGTGAAGGAAGTTAAAATCTTAAGTGATCTCAGGAAGAAATGATCTTAAGACAGAACAAATTGGTTGATGTGGATTAAATGAAAACTCACAGTTAAAAGTCTGTTGCTCAGTTAAGAAAGATGGTCCGGTCTTGGGAGAGATAACTGCAAAGAGATCTCCTGTCGTCTGAGTAGAATGAAGCTCACTGTAGACAGAGAAAACGTACCAGGCATATGTGTAGCAGCACAAATAGGGGCTAGTGTTGGAGGTATGTGTGCTTAGCAGGGGTGCAGAGATGTCTCTGACAGAACAAAGACAGCCAGATAGGGTAATGTTGGAGACTAGATTTAGATGGCTTAGGGTTAGGATTTAAAGAGACAGAGAACAGTCCATACCAGAGGGATTTCTAATTACTATTGAATTAAATTGGCAGAGTAGTGTACTGAATGGAACCACACAGAACAGTAGATGAGCCCTGGATTTGTGTCACTGAGAGGTTCAGGTGTGTATAGTCCTAATAAATTGACAATACTAGCACCTGTGCAGCATAGATAACTTATACAGCTGTGATTTAGAAAATGACTAAGCTGATAAACTTCTGGTCTTGTTACTTGTAATCAATAGAAAACATAGACTAGGAACCAAAAACTGTCTAAATAATATAATAATGTCCATAAAAACCACTAGTATATAAAAAAAACATGATTCATATCTAACAACTCACATGTATTTTAGGGTATAAAGACCAGTAAAGTCCTGCTTTCTGTTCTAAGAAGTTGATTGAGAGACACTAATTCAGCATAATTATAGTTAATGCCTTGGAAACAAATCTTAGCTTGAACACCTTGAAAGATACAGAGAGGATATTCCAAAAGTTAAAAACAATTTTTTATTTCATTTTTTTCTTAAGATGTTTGTCTCTAAATTTACAAGAACACTGTAAATCTAGCCAAACCACAAATTAGCATTCCCCTTTAATTTTATAGTGTAAAATTCTGAAAAACTTTATATTTTAAAAGTGTGAGATGTGAATTCATTGTATCAATTTTACTTTTTGGCAAGCACAATGTTCCTATGGCCATGTGTTGGCTATGTTTTGTCCTCTTTATGTTTTACATGACTCTGATCATGAATATTACAGTTTGACAAGGATGGTAGTACATTTTGGTTTTTGATTTTCACTGTCTTTTAGAGCAATCAGGATGCTTTGTTGTCTGCTTCATCGTTGACAGGGTCTCAATCTTTAGCTCAGACTGCCCTGTAAGTTGTTCACTCAGGTAGTAGATACTTACTACACATATGAGGGGAACAAGATTTGTGTGGGGGCTGGTTTTCTACCTGGAGACAGACCACACTAATACATAACTGCTGGTTGATGGATGTGTGTGCATTCATTGGCATTGGTAAAATCATGGAACTGAAGTGGAAAGGACTGGAGAGGGTGTTCTACTTAAACATGGTTCTTAGATTCTGTGGTAACAAGAAGTTACCCACTTACCAAAAGGTGCTACCAGGAAGGAAAAGTGCATCGAATAAATAACTTAAGCATACATATTGTAATATGAAGGGCCATGACAGGTGAGCTTGTATGACGCCCTTTAAGATGGACTTTGTAGGGCATTGATCCTGTTGTCTAACTGTGAGAGTGGAATAGAAACAATGAGACCATGACTCTAACTGGCCACTTAGGCTGAGTAGTATCTGTAGCTGAGGCTAACTTTGTATTTATTGTACTCTAGACCCTGTGTGACATGGTTGTCACAATTCGTATGGTAGATAATTGCTTAGAGGTCCTGTGAGGTATAGATCCCAGGGGCACACAGCAAGTGGCAAAATTTGGATGTCAGCTCAGGGTAACTGCCTCCAGATGCATCTTCCTGTTTATTACATTATCTGTCTATTTTCTAATAGAGAAGATAAAACATTAAAGGAAATATAATTCAAATGTTTAAGAAACATCAAAATAGCTGGGCAATGGTGGAGCACACCTTTAATCCCAGCACTTGGGAGGCAGAGGCAGGCAGATTTCTGAATTCAAGGCCAGCCTGGTCTACAGAGTGAGTTCCAGGACAGCCAGGACTACACAGAGAAACCCTGTCTCGAAAAACAAACAAACAAACAAACAAACAAACAAAACATCAAAATAAGGCACTGGGTCATAAAGTGTGTGTGTGTGTTGAAATACCTTTTTATTGGTTTGTAAAAAGGAACTGAATACTCTTCAGCCTAAAGAAAGCTTTCGTCTGTGGCTTACTGCAGAAGTTCATCCCAACTTTACCCCCATATTACTCCAGTCAAGTCTGAAGATAACGTATGAGGTAAGATGTTTCAAAGTCCCATTCTTAGGTATAGAAGAACAATAATGTATGTTGCCTTTAACTATTATTCAAAACTATCAAAATGTCCTTTTAATACTTACATGAGATACAAATTATATAATAGCATGAGATATTGAAAAAGATTTTAAATATTATTCCCCCCCAAAAATAGAAAAGAAGCCAAATTCCACAATAGAAAATTTACCATCTTAACTATTTTCCTGATCATGTGTTAATCCTGTTTGTAACGTTCTGAAGAGCTATTATGTTGTTTCCTACAATGCTTTCATAGAGATTATATTCTCACTCACAGTGCTCCAGTTCTATGCATCATTGCCAGCATCTATTTTTAATAACCCCATGGGTGGTCCAATGTTAGCTAATAAATCCCTGAGAGAGTGATCTGGATTTCCATGATATGAGTGGTATTTATCATTGTCCCATGCTTGTTTAATGTTTGTGGCTCTTCTCTGAAGAAATTTATAAGGCATTTCCTTTCTTCCTTTCTACCTGCCTAGTTTTGTTGTAGAAATCTATAACCACATTTATCTATTCATATTCCCCAAACTTCAGTCACAGGCAGATCTATCATATGCTTCATTTGTAAAATTATGTTTATTTTTAGAAGGTAATGTGTAACTTCTTAGTCATAATACTAGGTTGAATTAAAGGTTTAAAAAACATTAAAGGAAATTTTTCATTCATTTTGTACCCCTCCTTTCTCATGTTAGCATTCAGTATCACACTGGTATTACAAATACCACTGGTATGGCAATTTTAGCTTAATAAACAAGAAAAATTTAATGATTTTGTGAAATGTACTTGATTGTTTTTAATGCATTTGGTGACATATTTATTTAATTTTGAAAATACTATGGATTTTCAAATAATATGAATTATTTGGTACAAGTTTTAAGGCTAGCTGTATATTTGTACACTTTGAAGTAACAGAAAACTACATTGGGCTTTTGGAGAAAGAGTTTCTTCGTTAAGAAGAAAGCATGTTGATGCAGTTTGACTGTATTTGTAATGTATTAAGCAATGAGAAATCTGTTCATATTCTCTTCTTGTAGTCACCCCCAGGTTTGAAGAAGAATTTGATGCGCACTTATGAATCTTGGACTCCTGAGCAAATTAGCAAAAGAGATAACGTACACCGAGCTCATGCTCTTTTTAGCTTAGCATGGTTTCATGCTGCTTGTCAAGAAAGAAGAAATTATATTCCACAGGTAATTATAAGCATGTTATAACATAAGCTTTACATTTATTGGAATATATTTATAATTTGGTACATAAATGTCATAATTTGGTTTATGACTCTTAAGTTTGTTTCTAATTAGGTGTTTTTCTACTAGTCCTCCACACTGTATAGTGTATGGTTATATGCTTCATACGCCATTGAGTTAATGTATGAACTCCAGCATGCGACTCAAATCAGTGAGCATCAGATACCACTCTCATGCTGTATCTTAATAGATACCTCAGACTTCAAAAATCAAATCTTGAGGACTGGAAGATGGCTCAGAGGTTAAGGACACTGACTGCTCTTCCAGAGGTCCTAAGTTTAGTTCCCAGCAACCAGATGGTGGCTCACAACCATCTGTAATGGGATCCAATGCCCTCTTCTGGTGTGTCTGAAGAGAGTGGCAGGGTACACACATACATTATTAAATAAATAAATAAATAAATAAATCTCTAAAAAAATCAAATTTCCATACATTAAATAAATAAATAAATAAATCTTAAAAAAAAATCAAATTTCCATGGCTGTTTCCTTCAGGGTAGCCTTAGTAAAAGGCCTCGACACTACTTAGCTCTCTGAAGTTCGCCTTCTAGGAAGTATTCTTGGTGGACCCTCTGCTCACTTTTCTCCTCAATCCATTGTCAAGTTCTGTTTTACTTCAAAACATAATTGAAACTTGTATAGCCTGGAGTTGGAGGTGTAGCCTGGAGGGGGCTGGATTAAAGTATTATGGTTTTTGTTTCTTAATTACATGATGATCCTTTCCCATCCTGCTTTTTTTTTTCACATACTAATTTATTTAATGAAAAATACTTTGATCAAATCTCAATAGATGACTATATAATCATTCCCTTCTTCCATTAGGTTTCTTAGATGGAAAGACTTGAGAAGTCTAAGGAAATAAAAGGCCACCAGAGGACACTAATTCTAGAAGTTGCTCATGGGAGATAATCCATTGTAGGAATGGAGAACCCTGGCATATATGAGATATGGTCTCATTAAACTAGAACATCAGCCAAGAACACTTTTTAAAATATTAAACATTTTCTTCTTTTGTTTGGTTGTTTTTTATGAGACCGAGTCTTAATACTAGGGTAGGATGGGATTCAGTATACAATTCAGCCAAGAATCAAATCTAGGATCCTCTTCCCTGAGCTTCCTAAGTATGAAATCACAGGCATACCTCACCACACCTGGCTCAAAAAAGATATTTTAAATTTATTTTTAAGTGGAAAGGCCTGAATTCAAGTTTAAATCCAGCGTGCTATTCTTTCAGGGCTGTATTCTGCAGACTTCAAACCATTCTATACTGTTCTTCTTGGGTATTTCTACTTACATTACAAACTAGTTCCAGCAAGTTAATATCTTGCTGAGTTTTTCAATTATATTTACTTTTCTTTCCATCATCTTCTTTTTCCATGGACTGACTGTCCTTATCCTCATATATCAGATCAGATCTTTCTCATATATGTAACAAGTATATTTCTTATCATCAAACCTCTATAGATGAGCTTTGCATATTATCTATACATTTTCTTGGGAGCCTCATGGAATTGGATTACTGTTTGGGTTTATTGCTTACATGCTCAGAATCTTATCGACAATGAACATTTAAGAAATAGTTTTTAATTATTTTATATTTTTATATTTCAAATCTTGTCCCCCTTCCTGGTCTCCCCTCCACCAACTTTCCACCCCATCCCCCTCCCCTTTACCTCTAAGAGGGTGCTCACCCACCTACTCCCAGCTCACCCTTCCCTGAGGCAGCAAGCCTCCATAGGACCAAGCACATCTCCTCCCATTGATGGCCAATAAGGCCATCCTCTGCAACACATGTAGCAGAGCCATAGACTCATCAACCTCTTTGGTTGGTGGTTTACTCCCTTGGAGCTCTGTGGGGTACAGTTAGTTGGTATTGTTGTTCTTCCTATGGGATTGCAATCTCCTTCATCTCTTTCATTCCTTCCCCTAACTCTTCCATTTGGGTTTCCCATGCTCAGTACAATGGTTAGCTGTGAGTATCTGCATCTGTCTTAGACAGGTGCTGGCAGACCCTCTCTGAGGACGCAATATCAGCTTTCTATCTGCCAGCAGTTGTTTTCATCAGCAATAGTGTGGGGGTTTGGTGTGCGTGGATGGGATGGATCCCAAAGTGGAATGGTCACTTGATGGCCTTTCCTTCATCTCTGCTCATTTTTTGTCCCTGTATTTCCTTTAGACAGGTAGAATTCTGGGTTAAAATTTTTGTGATGGATGGGTGGCCAAATCCCTCCACTGGGGGCCATGTCTATCTACTGGAGGTGGTCTTTTCAGGTTCTATTTTCCTGCTGTTGGGTATTTCAGCTAATGTCATCCCCATTGAGTCCTGGGAGCCTCTTACATCCCTGACCTCTGGGACTTTCTATTGGTCCCCACTCCTCTACTGCGACTTAGTTCTATTCATTCTCCTGGCCCTCTGCACTTCTCTCCTGTCTCCTCATATCTGGTCCTGCCCAACCCCCCTTATTTTTCCCTCCCGCTTTACTCTCCCATCCGGGTCTCTCATTCCCTCTGCCTCCTATGATTATTTTGTTCCCCTTTCTAAGTGGGATTGAAGCATCCATACTTTAGCCTTCCTTCTTGTTAAGCTGTGTATGGTTTATGAGTTATATCATGGGTATTCTGAGCTTTGGGACTAATATCCACTTATCAGTAAGTATATACCATGTATGTAAATGGAGAGAAACTTGAAGCAATCCCACTAAAATCAGGTACAAGTCAAGACTGCCCACTCTCTCCCTATTTATTAATATGGTACTTGAATTTCTAGCTAGAGCAATTAGACAACAAAAAGAGGTCAAAGGGACACAAATTAGAAAAAAAGAAGTCAAAGTATCACTATTTGCAAATGATAGGATAGTATACATAAGATACCAAAAAATTCTACCAGAGAACTCCTAAACCTGATAAAAAAAATACTTCACCAAAATGGCTAGATATAAAATTAACTCAAACAAATCAGTAGCCTTTCTCTACACAAAGGATAAACAGGTTGAGAAAAAAATTAGGGAAAAAACACTGCTCACAATAGTTACAAATAATATAAAATATCTTTGTGTAACTCTAACTAAGCAAGTGAAAGAACTTGAAGTTGCTGAAGAAAGAAATTGAAGAAGACCTCAGAAGATGGAAAGATCTCCCATGCTCATGGATCGACAGGTTTAACAGTAAAAATGGCCGTCTTACCAAAAGCAATCTACAGATTCAGTGCAATTCTCATCAAAGTTCCAACTCAATTCTTCACAGAGATAGAAAGAGCAATTCTCAGATACATCTGGAATAACAAAAAACGCAGGATAGCAAAAATTGTTCTCAACAATAAGAGAACTTGTAGGAAAATCACCATCCCTGACCTCAAGCTGTATTATAGCGCAATAGTGATTAAAACCGGATGGTATTGTTACAGGTAGATCAGTGGGATAGAGTTGAAGACCCAGAAATAAACCTACACACCTATGGTCTTTGACAAAGAAGACAAAACCATTCAGTGGGAAAAAGACAGCATTTTCAGCAAATGGTGCTGGTTCAACTGGTGGTTAGCATGTAGAAGAATGCAAATTGATCCATTTTTATCTCTTTTGAACAAAGCTCAAGTGCAAGTGGATCAAGGACCTCCACATAAAACCAGATACACTGAATCTAATAGAAGAGAAAGTGGGAAATATTCTTGAACACATTGGCACAGGGGGAAAATTTCCTGAACAGAACACCGATGGCCCAGGCTCTAAGATCAACTGTAGACAAATGGGACCTCATGAAACTGAAAAACTTCTGTAAGGCAAAGGACACTGTCAGTAACACAAAACAGCAACCTACAGATTGGGAAACGGTCTGAAAGAGGGTTAATATCCCAAATATACAAAGAACTCAAGAAATTAGACTCCAGAAAACCAAATAACCCTATTAAAAATGGGATACAGAGCTAAACAAAGAATTCTCAACTGAGGGATCTCAAATGGCCAAGAAGCACTTAAAGAAATATTCAGCATTCTTAGTCATCAAGGAAATGCAAATCAAAACAACACTGAGATTCCACCTTACACCAATCAGAATAGCTAAGATCAAAAACTCAGGTAACAGCAAATGCTTGCAAGAATGTGGAGAACGAGGAACACTCCTGTTGGTGGAATTGCTAGCTGGTATATCCACTTTGGAAATCAGTCTGGAGGTTCCTCAGAAAATTGGACGTAGCATTACCTGAGGACCCAGGTATACCTCTCTTGGGCATTTACCCAAAAGATACTCCAATATATAGCAAGGACACATGCTCCACTATGTTCATAGCAGCCTTATTTATAATAGCCAGAAGCTGGAAACCACACAGCTGTCTTTCAACAGAAGAATGGATACAGAAAATGAGGTTCATTTACACAGTGGAACACTTCTCAGCTGTTAAAGACAAAGACATCATGAATTTTGTAGACAAATAAATGAAACTAGAAAATATCTTCCTGAGTGAGGTAACCTAGATTCCCCAAAAATATTTTTGTGTGGTTAATCAATAGTGATATATTCCTAAATACTAATTCTATCCAAATATTTTAAAATTTAGTTTCATTATGTAATTAGTATAGTTAATGAAAACACCATAAAAATTACTTGCATATTTTACCTTGTTTCTGTTTTAGGAATGTTTTTACATAAACATTATAGCTGTTCTGTAACTCTCTGGGTATAAAATATAAATAAATGTACATAAACAACTAACACTTTCAGGACTATATTGGCACTAGTTATGTCTTCATGTTTGTGGGCAAAATGTATAGTTTTGAAGCATAAGGTATAGGTGATATATTAATACACATATGGTATATAGATCAAAAAATGTACTACATCAGTTTGTTCTCTGACTATACTGATGTACATTAGTAATAAAAACTAAAGTAGAATTACAAAGTCATTTTCCTGTTTCTGAGGTCAATGCATTGATTTCTAAAGTTTTTATTTTTTAGTATATAGTGAATGCTTTTCTTAAATTTAGGTGGTGTATAGACACTTGCCTTTGAATTCACTGTATCTTACATTTGTTGTAACAGGGTTGGACCAAGTTTTATGAGTTTTCCTTATCAGATCTTCGGGCCGGGTACCACGTCATTGACAGGCTCTTCGATGGTGAGACTGGACCTACATTAATTACTGCTCATGACACACTTTTCACAAGTGCCTTAATTCCTACCACAAATTCTAAGTTTGCTTTGTATTTGGTATTTGAATGTCCTGACTACTATGCCTGTGTTCTCTGAAGGTTCTTGGGTTGTCCACTGTGGTTTTGATATAATGCATCAGAATTTCTACTTACCTGTAGTTTTCAGGAGACAAATCTAGAAACAGTGTGTATTTATTGTGTAGCCTACAATTTTTTTAATCAAAATTTCTTCAATTGAGTCATTCAATTCTCTTTCTAAAGAATTAATACTCTGGATCACAGCAGTGCAGGGCTAGAACTAAGAATCTGTGCAGTCCTGGAGAAATTCCTAAGTAAGTCTGTGGAAGCAGTACCAGAGTAAAACCTGAGACTTCTCACATAGGACTATTAAGCTCCTGCTTTCCTTGAAGCCAGTAGCAATCCAGTTCAGAGATTGCAGTGTGCATTGCTGAGACAAGGGGACATTAGAGCTCAGACACACTGTGGATCTGAGAGCAGACTAGATGGGGAGAAATGTAAACTTGAATGCTGCAACCACAGTTCCCAGATCCTGTCCCCACATTCCCTGTCAGCCTTGTTGCCTTGTCTAGCTGCTGTTCACCAAGGCCCCTGTTTCAGCAGATGGCATGGTCATCTGTGCTCTTTGCCAGCTCCAAGCCTGCAAGTCTCTTACACCTCTCTCATTTTCTCAGGGATGCTGTCTCTTTGCCAGGATATTTTCCCATTTCCATGTCACACTTTTTCTGTTTATCTGCCTTAAAGCCTTAGCTGTGTGGGGGACTACTTATCTAGTCCCTGTTGCTTCCTTTCTCTCCTTTCAAACATGCTCTGTCACAGTGCAGCAGTTCATCTGGATGATAAGCTCAGGCTTTCTTCCTTGGGCTTCCTGTCCTCAGACAAGCAGACATGTGACAGTGTTTACTAGATTTTAACCTACAGTGCGGTCCATGGGAAAGGACACCTGTCCTTTGTTTATCACCTGGATGTTAGCACCTATCATGTGTCCATCACAGGCACTAGAAATTGTTCTGTGACTATTTCTAGCAAAGAGATCAGAATGAACCCCTAGTATGAGAAAACCACCTGGAACAGCTGACCTTTAACACACTTACTGTGCAAATTTAAGAAGCAACAACAGAAATTATTGTCTGCCTTTTTTTCATAATTTCTCATTTTTTAATCTTGAACAACACCTTTTTTTTTTTTGAGAACAAGTCTAAAAGAAAAACAAGGTTTTTCCAATATAAAATTTCTACAATTTTTTTCACGTGCTGGCATTTCTACTTCATAAATTGAATGGTGAGCTCTGTTTCTGCATTCCTTGCTGACTGTGCTAGCAGTGCCTGCCGTTATGACTGTATCAGCTGGTAAATATGAAGGTAGTGTGGGAAATTGAGTCACGGTGACGTCTCCTGCTTCTTAGTCACTGCTGATACAAGGTTTCAGCTAGGGATACCTTCTCTTTTCTCAACTATGTGGATAGCCTAGTTCTGTAAAAGGCAACATACATACATCACTTGTGTATGCCTCAAGGTCTAGAGTAACATTGTTATCAGTTCTGTGACTGTCTCTGAATTTCATAGTGGTGAAATAGAAAAATACAAGTATATTAAATGCACAGTAGTAGCAAATCAGTAATGCTAATGAAGTTAACTGTCAATTTGAATATAGTTACATGTTTATTATATTTACAGAGGAACTGAGACTGCCTCAGTCTCTCTCGCAGTCATTGCTGCCACGGTTGCAGTGTGCTGATGCGGCATGATTCAGTAGTATGTAGGAGAGAGCTTGCTTTCCTGTGTGTTTGGTTTTGTGCTGTGTGAGATGGACTTGCTGCCAGGCATCTGCAGCCCACGCCCCGGCTCCAGTTCTCTTCCTAGAATGCAGATGATTCTAGACTACAACAGGTAGAAGGCTACTGTGCAAAGTCCTGTTACAGACTTCCCATTTCATCAGATTATCTTATGAGCTACTTGTTTCATCAAGCACAGGTCGTACTGTGCTCTGTGTCTACCTATGTGTTTAATAAAATACATTGGACAGCTGTTCTAGATGAAGGTATATTTGGATCAGGTTTTTCCAAGGGGGTTCCAAATTAATTAGGCATTGCTACATGGTCAGAAAACAGGATGGCCCTGTATTCAGAATGCTCTGTTTGTACTCCAGATTTTCAGGAGTCGATGATTTTCTCATTATGGTGACCCAGACTCCTCTATCTCAGCTATCATATTCATAACTTGACTGTTTTGATAAGTATAAAATCATTGGAAAGGAAATGTTCACTGACTATTTAGAGATCATTTGCAGAAATCACTGAGATATTAGAATCTATTGCTGTGTCCTAATGATTAAAGTGAGGGTAAGGGGCTGTACAGTGCTGAGTTCTGGGCTGGGAACCCACAGCAAGTTTTGTTACTGCAGAACAACAAGCTGGAAGGAATTCCAGCATGGACAGTGTAAATGATCTCCAGGCCACACCTTATTGTGGTGCTCTTTGCAGTTGCTTGGGAAGGGAAAATCATTCTTTCTTGGAGGATGCGGCCACTTATTGGATTCCCATTCTCTGGTGAATGTCCCTATACCCAAGCATGTATATACAGCACTGGCTGGACTTAGTGGCTTACCAGAAGGGGAAAAAGATATAAAATTAGGGAGGGGGCATGCATGTATAAGATATAATCGTATTTCATTGTATACATGTATGAAATTCTGAATAAATAAAATCTTTTTAAAAGTAAAATTAATAAAAGTATTTGTTTTACTCATAGGTACCAAAGATGTACAGTGGGAATTTGTACATGGATTACTTGAAAATTCTATTTATGGAGGACGTGTAGATAACTATTTTGATCTTAGAGTTCTTCAGTCCTACTTGAAGCAATTTTTTAATTCGTCAATAATTGATGTACTAAACCAAAGGAACAAGAAAAGCATGCTTCCTTATTCCATCTCTCTCCCAAACTCATGCAGCATTTTGGTAGGTAGAAGTAATGATTTCCCACGCGTTTCCTGTAACATGGTTGAGACTTACTTTTGAATGATAAAATTCATGCAGAAATGTGCACATGATGGGCATGTACAGCAATGGCTTTTGTATATTAAACACGTGAGTATAAGTTGCTCATTATCTCAAAAACCACACATCCTCAGACAGCCAGATGCCCTGATTCTTTCTCTTTCTAGTTAGTTCTTTGTTCACAGAAGAAACTGCAGTGATTTCCAACAACTTAAACTTTGTCTGTGTAAGTGATAAGAGAGACCCTTTTGTGTCTCTGTGAGGATCTGGTCTTGGGACATGTGACTGCTACTTGCTACTTAGTGAGTCAGTCTGGGAAGGCAAATGCCTCCAACCAGTCTAGATAAAAAGAGATTGCATATACATTGGAATGAATCAAGTGTTTAATTTTCTAAACAGTAGTAGTTTTAATTTCATATGACATCTAATAGTCTTTGGTTATATTTTTATCTGATGCCACATTTCCCAGAGGGAAGATAACATGCCAGTGTGACAGCAAATACATACATGCCCTCGTGTCTTATAGCTGACACTAGAAAGGAATTGGCAGTCACTGAGCTAAAGGACTGAGAATGTCAGAGGACATCACAGTCCTGGGCTTCTTATATTCCAACTGTATACTTCAGGGGCAGCTGCCAAGAATGAGACAGAAAGAAAAGAAATCTGTCCTTGCTCAGCAGATACTGTGTGGATGCATATGTATGTATGTATGCATATAATACCTTAACATACCCTACCTTTATGAGAAAGAGTCCCAGCATTGGACCAAGATGAATAAATTTCTTCTTCATCTGCCCTTATTTTTCTTCTAAAATTGGAATTAGATGTGTCAGACTGATATGGAGGAAGCTTGTAAGTCCTCACAGGAAATGCTGATGTCCAGTGTGTGTTAGCAAACTATAACAGAAGACAGGAGTGTTGGTGGACTGCATGGTGATAGACTCACTCAGCCGGCACAAAGTAGGACAATACTACATCATGCCTATAGGCTACAGGATTTCTTTAAGTGGTTATGTTTTAAAATTAAACAACCAGTGATTGTTCAGATATGTAAGAGCTGAAGTCTACATGTGGGTCTTTTGTATGCTGTAATAAATTATGACTCCCTAAACACATCTACACAGCGTCTTACACACAATAGGCAGATCTATTTATATATGTTAGATTGAATCTATTCAAAGTCTCTGTATATAAGGAGTTGTAACAAGAAAATACAATATCAAATAGTTAATGCACAGAAGAATATTAGTGACAATACTTCCTATAGATGATCAGGAAATAATGGTAGAAAAAAATGGGAATACCTATTTAGTAAATCTTTCCAGCGTCTGTGGTTTCTGTGGCTGTAAATCTGCCTTTGGTGACAACACTTTCTTGTTTACCTGCAGGACTATCGTGCTGTCATTGAGAAGCTCCCGGAGGATGATAAACCCAGCTTCTTTGGTCTGCCTGCCAACATTGCCCGCTCTTCTCAGCGCATGACCAGTTCTCAGGTGTGATACACCAGCTACCTCTTAAAAAATAAACATTGCTATTGAGTCTGGAGGAAACAGCATAATTTCGCTGTGTAGAATGTTAACATGCTTTTATTTACAACTTTTATTTCATTTAATATAAACACTTCACTTTTACCTTGTTTTAAAGATGTCAAATGATTTTATCTTAGTATTTTCCTAAAATGAGTAAAATAACACTGAATACTATCAATTTCATTAGGATATTTGATTCATTCCTCAGAAAGATTTTATTATGATTATATTGAATGTAACTTCTATGAGTGAACACCAAATTTAATATTCTATATCATGCAAGATACAAATACATATTCTTCCTTTCTTTGTTGTCTTATAAAAGATAAATATTTGATATGAGTTCATGATTGGCTATTCTATAACTTTGATTTTTGAAATCATGAGACAAAACATATTACTAAATGTTAGCTTTCCATCTCTGTGACAAAATGCCCATGGACTGCATAAAGAGCAAAGATCTCCACAGGTTTCAGGCCATTGCTTTTAGGCCTCTGGAAGACAGAAGCATGGTAGAGGGATGTAGTGGAAGAATCCAGCTCACGTCAGGGGAGCAGGAGAAAGTATGGTGGGAAGGGAAGAGAGAGCAGCAGTGACAACTTAAACCCTAGAACGACATGCTCCTATTTTCTCAGTATCCCTCACCGAGTAATTCCTATCCAGCTGTAATTCTGTACCTGGACTAGTGATTGACATAGCAGCCTGAGCCCCATGGTCCACAGACCTCTCAATAAGCCCCATGGTCCACGGACCTCTCAATAAGCCCCATGGTCCACGGACTTCTCAATAAGTCCCATGGTCCATAGACCTCTCAGTAAGCCCCATGGCCCACTGACCTCTCAATAAGCCCTTAGCTATGAGTTTAAGCCCTTACACTGAGCCACAATACACAGAAACAACATATCAATAGATTCCGTATAGTTGTCACTTGGCTATTTGAATAACTCCTGGTTAGTGACCTCACCATGTGTGAAGCGGTTCTCAATGCTGTGTATTCAGGAGTTTATTTACTGTCTATAGACTGTCAGATAAGAACCTTTACTTTTCCCTTTTAATACATGAGGAAACAAACTCTGAGACTTGTGCATTGTAAGATGTCCAAGATCAAAGAGCTTAGAGGCAGAGCTAGAATTTTAACCCAGTCTTTCTGGTTAATTCCTCCTTAGAAATTTTTCTAGAGTTTTATTTTTGTTTTTAAGATTATGCAGTCAACTCTGGCATGAGTACTGGTAACCAAACTTGGGTTCTCTGCAAGAGCAGGACACTCATAGCTGCTGAGCTATCTCACCAACCATGTAATTTACAGATTTTTGACTTCTAGTTTGAGTTGTTCCTCACCATATCCTATAGCAGCTGCCCCTCAGGGATGCATGTGCTGCTTAGTAATGTGCACCGTGGCAGGTGCAAACGGTTTGTGATAAGCCATAAACCAGAGGTTCTCTGCATAGTGTACACAGAAGGCTCCAACAGCCCCTCACTATTTACATTCCTTATTTGTAAGCATTCTAACTAGGAAGTATTTTACTCTTTACGTCTACATGCTTACATTGTTGCATAGCCAACATTTCTTGAGTTGTCGTTTCCTCTTGTTTTGTCTTTCCATGCGGTCTGTTTTCTCTTTCCATGCGCGGTCTGTTTTCCTTTCCATGCGCGGTCTGTTTGGCAGTCTCAGTGCTCATTCTCTCATTAGGAAGCAGTGTACACATGTATATAAGAATAGTGTTCCTCACAAGTGAGCTCTGCTGGTGAGAGTCTGCAGTTCCTTTTTGTTTTCTCAGTCAGTGTCCCTGCAGTCAGAGAATGTGTCTTCCTCAGGTCTCTGCCATATGTCTGCACTCTCCTTATTCCAGCCATGATTTTATTTGGTATGTGCATGTGTGTCTGTGCATGCATGCATGTGTGTCTGTGTGTGTTGGTGGGGGGACATTGCTTGCTTCTCTCCTTCTACCTTTACATGGTTTTCAGACTCAGGTCACTAACCTGCATGGCAACCGGTGTTACCTGCTGAGCAGTCTTGCTTTCCCCATCTCTCCTTTGTCTGAAGGGTAGCTCTACTGGCTGTTACAGTCTTTCTTAGCATTTGCCATTTTGTGGCATAGGGCTTCTGTTGGGTAATGAAGGGAAGGTCTAACTTAACCTCTTTCATGGATTTGACTTCATGGTAATAAAAGGAAAGTAAAGAAAAGTCTTCTTCATTAAAGAGCACATAATAAAAGCAGAGGGACTGGTACACTAACCAGTAATGAAGAGAACTGCTAGTGAAGGGCTTCCTCCTTGGGGAGGAGCGGGGAGACTGGCAGGAGTGAGTCTTTGCACCATAGGAGGGCTTCAGCCACCACGGCCTCTGGAGTCAGCATTAAGGGCGCTTTGCAAAAGTATTTGTTCAAAAATACAGTGAACCTGAACTCTCCCACACCTTACAACTAACTGACTGTAATTGGAAACACGGGAACAAGTGACATGGTTAAGTGACATGGCAGGATGAGACTACAGGATGTCTCACAGGACAGCTGAGGAACTGAGTCACCAGGTGAGTAGTGTGGAGGAAAGGAACAATGAGACTAGAGAGATGCTGAGGAAAGCCCAAAGCCATGTGACCCTTCTAGGGCTTCATGCTCCAACAGTCCATTTAAAGATGTTTGAAACAACCAATAAAGACATTGAAGTATGTGGTGGGCATTATGTCACAGTAGTTACATTTTGCATTTTTTAGGAGGAATAGTGGCCGTGTGCAGATGCCCTGTGCTGGGGAGTGTAATCGGGATGGATGAGGCAAGTTCAGGAAGACTATGACAGCTGACGGATGTGACTGATGCTTGCTTGTTGAAAGTTTCAATATTGAAGCTAATCTTTAAATTTAGAAACATGTAATGAATATCTGTGTGCCTTGACCCTGCCCCCCCATCAGAGAGAGAGAGAGACAGAGAGACAGAGAGAGAGACAGAGAGAGAGACAGAGAGAGAGACAGAGAGAGAGAGAGAGACAGAGAGAGAGAGAGAGGCAGAGAGAGAGACAGAGACAGAGAGAGAGAGAGAGACAGAGAGAGAGAGAGAGAGAGAGAGAGAGAGAGAGAGTTGAATGCCTGCCTTCCTCTGTGAGAGTATTAGCCAAAGACAACACAAGTCTTCACAGTTGAAGGGCATAAATGACAGCCTCACCCTTAGAACGAATCTGATAAACCGTTTCTATTCCTCTTTGAAAAGCAATTGCAATAGATCTAGCCTGATAAATGGGAATTAGTGCTTTCTGAGGGATGGGGGTAGAGCAGTAAAAATGTTGTGATGATTCTCTAATAATTTTTATATGTGTGCATATTGGCATCTTTCTAGAACAAAAAACATGACCATGGGGTGGGGTTGGGGGAATGCTAGCCAATGTTTCCTTTAAATAGTTTAAAAAATATATTTGTACTTTTTTCTTTTTTTTCTTTACATTCATGTTTTCTGTTGTCTTTAATAAATTTAAAACACAAATAAATGATTGCAAGTGTTACCAGAGTTAGAATCCCATGTCTCCTGACTATCAATTAGGGACATTTTGTAGTGAAGCGATGCTGATAAATTAAGTGCTGTGTAGAGTTGAGCTCCAGCAAATGGAAATGACTCATCAGAGAAACAAAGGCAGCCAAGCACTGACTCTCCACAGTGCTTTTTGACTAAGAAATCAATCAAAAGCTCTAGGAGTTGAATCCAGCAGTGTAATCATGTATGTGTAGCAATTAAGCTGTACTTTCATTCAGAAAGATTTATAGTCCTTATTGTAATACAGGTTTACTAAAGTGAGAGTGTAACTTAGTAAAGTAATATGCTGCAAAAACAAAAGACAGCTTACATTTCTTTAAAAACGTGAAGGTAGCTAGCGGGCTGCAGTTATTGAGGGTTAAGATGCTGCCCTGTGAAACATGAGCCTGGGTTTCTTGGACTCACTTTGCTTATATTAGATAAGCCTTATGCTAGCAGAGTTGTACTGGTTGGCTGGACTATTACAAGGCAAAATTACTGAGGAGCTCAGTCGTTTTACAGTCACCACCATTCCCATGGTACAGTAGTGGTCATGGTCTGGGTCATCTGTAGCAAATATTAAGGAGGCAAATGTTTCTAAAATAGGACCCAGTAGACATGATTTCATTTGGGAAGGAAAATGCAAGTGATTGATTTTAATGTGTACAGCAAAGAAGCTAATAATACTAAAGCTACAGCAGCTGGGGCAAAGGTCCCAGCAGGGAGGAATGTTTACCTAGCTTCACTTTCATTAATTGATCTGTATGTATTTCTTTGGGTCTTTGTGAGGATGGAATATTAAAATGGAAACTGGAAATTAAGCACTAAAAGTCTGTGTAAACTCCTTCACCAGCCAGGAGCCACTTGATTTGCATTTATTTGTGCTGTGTTTTTAAATACACTGTCAGCATTTTGAAATGTTTAGATTTAAATCAATCGAACTGAAAAGCATTGTAGATTTTGAAATGAACAAGAAGAGAGACCAGGAAGATATTAATAATGGCACAGTGTGCACTTCCTGCATAAAGAAGCACTTTTTCTAACAACCATCGCAGTATTTAATTTTAGAATGCTTTCCCTCAACTTTTCAGTCTTTAGTCTTTTTAACTATTTGAATGAATCCTGTCATTCAAACAAAATGTTAGAGATACATGGATTACAGCCATCTATACACGCTTCAGTTGTTACAGAATGTGTGGCTCTGCATCGTACCGTGTCCCTGCTGGGACTTAGTTACTGTACATGACTAACTGTGATGTATTCTCTTCACTCAGGTCATCTCCCAGCTCAGGATCTTGGGAAGATCAGTCACAGCCGGTTGCAAATTTGACAGAGAAATCTGGTCTAATGAACTTTCCCCTGTTCTCAATCTTTGGAAGAAGCTGAACCAGGTTAGTCATGGGAGGATTGAAACATTTATATCTTTTCCTTCTGCTGCCTTCTCCAGCTCCCTAGAGCTATGCTATTCTGCCTGACTCACAAAGATATCCCTGGCCTGCTTGTCCTGAGTCTCACAGACTTTCACACTGGGCATTGTGATGCAAATCTAGGCCCTGCTTGTCCTGAGCAGATAGTCACTGCAAGCCTTGTTCCTGAGTCACACAGTCAGTCACTCAGGGTGTTTGCTCTCCCTGCTTCCTGTCAGTTCACACTGGGGTTAGTCTTCTTTATTTTTTGTTGTAACTGAATTTACCCAAATTTAACCAAGTTTTCAATTAAAGCCTTTAGCAAATCATTTTGTGATTTTGTAATATATATGGTATTAACCATGTGTGTAAATATTTTACCTCATTACATTTACTTTTCAAATTAAAATTCACTAGATTTTAAAGGTCTTAATAAATTTTGAGCAAATGAACTAAGTAAAGCAAAAAGAGTCTACTAACAAAATAATTGAGATAGACATAGTGAGAAAAGCAGTTTCATTTGAACACATTTTTGCATATGCTGTGTACTCGTATGTATGCATGCGTGTGCCTGGCGACATATGTGTTGACATTTTAAGTGCATGTGAGAGCCTGACATGGACTTTTGGTGGTGTCTTCCATTTCTCTCCACCTTGAGGCAGAGTCTCTCACTGAACTTGAAGGTGTCCTCTTTGGTTAGTCCAGGTAGCCCCTGTACCTGGGACTCCTTGTCTGCTCCCCATGTGCTGGGATCATTACAAGGCTGCCATGCCAGCCCAGTTTTTACACGGGACTGGGAGTCCAGCCCTGGGCCTCACTCTCACTGCACCGAGCTCCACTCCCAACCTTGAAGGCATCCCTCCTTCTCTGCTCTAACAATGGTTTCCATGGACTTTTAACTCAGCGCAGAGTATCATTGTGTATATAACAAAGCCATAGTAGCCATGTAACACAAAGTTTTTTAAGAGGACAAAAGCATGTATTTTTCTGCTGATGTATGTAGTATGAGAATGTAGTCTTACAGTGGTACATGGAATACATTGTTGGCTTTAAATCCATCTATACTTCCAGATTGGTTCTGCCCATCTTAATTCATCTCCTTTTGCCTATTTTCTGTTTGGTGAAATAGAGGAAATCATAAACTGCTATAACAGCTAGCACCATGCTAAGTACTTGGTAAATACTAGCTATTTCTAGTACAGATCTTAAAAACATTAGGATGACATTGTTCTTGGATGTCTGTGTTCTGGACCTATTGGTCATTCCTTGATCAGTAGAAAATGTAGAAAAGTATCATTTTTAGTGTTTATTTTAAGGATGTAATTAACAAAGGAGCTTATCCTAAAAAGAAAAAGAAGACAGGTCTACCGAGAATGCATCCAGATTAGGAGGCTCGGTCATCTCTAATGCCAGCTATGCTGTACACTGAGTTTTTAATCTGTAGGAATCCAATTAGTTTAGCAGAGCTACTTCTGGGAATAATGATGACCATAACTTTCAATGAACAGCTAATAGGAGAGTTCTGGCTACACTCAAAAATGAGTTTAGCAGAGGTAATAGTAGATGCTTAGGCCCCTAGCATGGCTAGGACTGCTTAGCCATGTCTCCTTGAACATTTGAGAAGATTTTTAATAATTTTTTTGAGAGCTTGATACACTGAATTTTGAGCATATTGGCCACCCCACTGTTCTCTCCAAAAACCCTATAGTCTAGTTTGCATGCACATATGCTGTTGGCTGTGTGGACCATCTACTGGAGAGTGTTTTACCTACCAGAGGCCACACTCCACAGAAATCTAACTCTCCCTCTTTTGGTGACCCTTAGCTAACAATAGCTTCTGAGCTAGGGCAGGAATGTGGTATCTCCCACACCCCATGCTGGGGCCTGGCTGTGAGTTCTTGTATGCTGGTTTTATGCAGAGGGATAAAAGCCAAATAAATACAACCTGGTCATTTCTATAATGCAAAAAGAGCAGCATGTGGGTCTCTTAATGCTTTCTGTATGCTGTGAAATCTTAGTCATTGAAAGGCAAAGAACAGGTGGTGTCTGGCTCAGAGGGAGCAACCTGTCACCTAAAGCCTTTCCCAAACATTCCAGTTGTTCTTTGTACAGCACTATCTCTGAAGATCGTTGCTTCTGAGAACATCTTTGTAGAATAATCACATGTAACTAATTAACAAAAAGCTTAGCTGCACACCCATTTTTAGCATTCAGTTATTTTTCTTCAACTCTAGGGAAAAGGTGTTGATTTGTATTGGTGCTTGCTAATCTGATTGTCACTCTTTTGAGGGTGATTGGATTTTTTTCCTCTTGTATATTATGCCCTACTATTCAGCTTCACTGTAATATATGTGAGTATAAGCTGTGTGTGTGTGTGTGTGTGTGTGTGTGTGTGTGTGTGTTTTAATCTATTTGCTTGATACTCAAAAGTTTCTATACACAGGTGAACTTCATCCACTTAACCACACACTGTGAGACATCACGTACCTCACTAGCTGTGGGTGCTCAATAATTGCTTCTTGAAAGAGTCATATCCATTTAAAGCCATATAAAAATAAAATTCTGCAGCTAAAACTTCTCCTTGGGGTGCTTGGAGGGATGGCTCAACTGTTAATGCACCAGCTGCTCTTACAGAAACCTGGGCTTGGTTCCCAACACTCACATGCTGGCTTACAATTGTTCTTAACATCAGTTCTGGGAGATCTGTTGTCCCTTTTGACCTTTATGGACACAGCACACACATGGAGCACAGACACATATGGATAAAACTCTCATACATATAAAATAAAGTCAAGTAAATAAATAAATCTCTTTTTAAAATCAAGAACCTATCTCCATAGTATATCTAGGTCCAGCCATGCAGTTCGTTGTCCTCTTTGCCTACATACAGATGCTCAGACACCACCTGTCTTCTTTATACTTTCCACTCTCACATCATCTCTTGTGAGATCAGAGTTTTCTTGTCAAACTCAGGATTCAGAAGTATAGCAGATAACTTGACATTTTGTCACCAACCAGAGTACCTTTTTAAGCTTTGTTTTGTTATTTATAAATCAAATGTTAATTATTATTTAAATTTTTATCTCAGATAGGATATCATGCAACCTAGGCTGGCCTCAAAATCACTATGTATTCAAGAGTGGGCATGAACTCCTTGATCTTCCTGCTCTACTTCAGAGCTCTAGGGTTACAGGCCAAGCCACTATGCCCAGTGTGTTTGTGTTAAATTGCTAGTAGCCAAGTGTCACAGCTGTCATATCTTGTACTTTATCCTCACATTCTTTCCCACTGCCTTCCAGAAACCATTTTATTCTATGATTTAAGTTTTATTCTTCCTGTTATGAGTCACTGCACAAAGTTGCAGATTTATTTCTACTATGCACCACCTGTTTTTCAAGCCATCCTTAATAAATGAATTTCCTGAAAGAAACCCCATAAGTGGCTGTATAGCTTCTTCCAGAGTAGAGCAAACCTCAATATCATATGAGTATATCATGGTAGAGTCTGTCTCTAGAATTTTCCAAATGCTCTTTCTTCTCAGTCCTCTAGCTCGGCTAACCCATAGAAGCTCAGGAAAGGACTGTTTAGCCCCAGTGCCATCTGGCTTGCTGCTAATTTCCTTTTTCATGTGTCAGTCCTTTTAGGTTATAACAGACATTTTTTAAAAACTATATTTTTAGTTAATATTTTTTATTGAAAATAGACTTTTTTCTCATATAATATATTCTATTTTAGTTTCCCTTCCTTTACACCTCCCACTTCCCACTTCTCCTCCAATCCAGATCCACTCCCTTTCTGTCTCGTTAGAAAACAAACTGGCTTCTAAGGGATAGTGATATAATACATGATATGATGCAATAAAGCAAAAACTAACACATCGGAATTGGACAAAACAAACAAAAGGCACAAAAAACAGAGACCTGCCCTTGGGCACACTCAAGCAGTCCTTTAAAATACTAAACTGGAAGCCATAACATATATACAAAGGACCTGCTGCAGACCTGTGCAGATCTTATTCATGCTTCCTCAGTCTCTGTTTCATTTAAATTTGGATCATGTTGACTTATGGGGCCTTGCTTCCTTGGTATCTTCCATCCCCTCTGGCTCTTATGCTTTTTCTGCCTCCTCTCCACAGGGTTCTCTGAGCCATAACTGAGGGATACAATGGGGACATCCTATTTAGGGCTGAGTGTTCCAAGGTTTCTCTCTGTGTAATGTCTGTCTGTGGGTCTCTTTATTTGTTCCCATCTTCTACAGAAGGAAGCTTCTCTAATGATGGTTGAGCAAGGCACTGATCTATGAGTGTAGTAGAATGTTGTTAGTTGGTTAGCTAGTTGGTTGGTTAGTTAGTTTTAATAAACCTTTGATTTAACCATAGATAACTAGGCTATCTACTCTTGGGTTCTTGGTTAAGCAAGTAATATCAGGCATGGATTCCATTCTGTGTAGTGGACCTTACATCAAATCAGATATTGGTTGGTTATTCCCATAAGCATTGAATGATAACCAAGCTATAATCTGTAGAACCACAGACATTGGGTATAAATTGAATAGCAGGGATAGACAGATCTCCCTAGGAAAAGTAAATAGACTAGATAGTTATAGAGTCGGGGCTGGATTGGGAGGATCAAGTCAGGGAGGAAGGGAGAACAAGGCAGGGAGTATGGAGATAGACAGCTATAATTAAAGACCATTTGAAGGATAGTATGGAAACCTATAGTAGAAACTTCCATATATACATACATACATACATACATACATACATACATAATGGGAAAAACAGAGCCCTAATTGGACTTCTCTTGTCAACAAATGAAGCTTCTAGTACTGAGATTGGGTTACATCTAATTGTGCTGTTGATACATACATACATACATACATACATACATACATACATACCGGGAGAAACAGAGCCCTAACTAGACTTGTCACTAAATGAAGCTTCTAGTACTGAGATTGGGTTACATCTAATTGTGTTGTTGGCTAAAGGGGTCCTATGGGAACAGCCAAAGAGCTTAGGCTATTGCCAAGGCTATAGGTTGCTCTCCACAAACTGATGATAAGGGGCTCATTATTTAAGCCCTACATATCTCCTTGAACATGGAGAAGTTGAGCTGGTGCCTTCATAGGCCCTTCATCCTTATGTTCTATTGTCTTTGGGACTGATAGATACTCTGCATGCTATCAAAGGAGAAATGTGAACACCAATCCAGCACAAAGTGTTTTATATGCAAAGGTGTCCTCCATGTAAAATATGAAACTACATTGTAAACTATGCAAGTTAAGTATGCATCTTGAATCCATAGGAATTCTCTTGTTAAACACTGCATCGCTGTTTACATTATATTAGTATGCACATCAATATATTTGTACACTAAGGAGTTATCCCAGTTTACATCTTATCTCATTAAGTAATTTCAGAGTCACTTCAGAATGTTTTACTAGCCTTTTCCTTCATTGTCAGTATGGATGAAGGTCTGCTGTATGATAGAGGCCATATTAAGGGCTAGTGACTAAGTCAGACAATTGTTGTACACACAATCAAGTTACCTACATGTTTTTAATTCAAAGTCAAGTGGCTGAATTACTCATTCAGAGGAAAGCCAAGTTTGCTTTTTGGATGTTCTAAGTTGATGTGTTAAGTAAAGAATTCTTGGTGATGTCAGTGGTATGGTATTCCAGAGAGAAAGGTAAGTTTGCCATCTTTGTTACTAAGACCAGCTTGAAAGAGACATAGTATCATATACTGCAGTGGTTACATAACATTATTAGATAAGATGAATTCAGTGAACTGGTGGGACAGAGAGGTAATAGTGATTATATTTTATAGAGGCCAAATTGATATATTGTAAAGAATAGATTCAATTAAGAAGCTAGTCAGAGCTTAAACTGAATTATGTTGTGGAAGCAGTTTGCAGGGGGCTTTGTCAAGAGTTCTCGTTATGTGAGTACATATCACCAGCTACTCCAAGGTAGAACTCATCTTTACAGAGGTACTGGGGGTAGCGAATGAAGATCAAATTGTAGGCTCAGATGTGTTTTGAACATTATTTATCTTTCTTTATAGCTTTTTAGATTAGCATGCATGTTAGTGATGATAACTTTTTAAAGGAAGTATATTATATATAGTTATACATTTTAACACTACATTTCATTGATTGTTATTCTTACATTATTCTGCCAGTTTTGCAATGTCACATGCACAGTTTACCTTTTTTTTATCATCTTCTCTAGTGTTTCCATAAAGAAAATTGCTAATACTAGGCTTGTAAAACAGTGATTTTTAAAAACTGAACTGCTGACAAGCTCGCCCTGAGAGGTTGTGCTCTCACGTGACGCATGCACACTGAGAGGTCAGATCTGTTTTACATTTTTATTTCATAAGAGCTTCACCCTTGTAACTTTTAGTACCTGGCTGATGGCAACAATTACTGAAAATTACTGACTTCCTGGCCAATTTACACTTTCTACAGTCCCAGCACTTCCATTAATTCTCATTTAAATTATTATGATGCAGGTATACATACATGAAACATGCTCCTTTGACGATTAGAGTTTATTGTGAGGAAAAACACATGGCGAACTTTTTTTTACTGAATTTTTTTTCTGAGTTAAAGCAGAAATGAAGTTTTGTCTATACTGACAAATAGATTTATGTCTAATCAAAATTACAGATTAAATAGATTATTTTCAAAAGAGTGAATTGATGTTAAATAGACTAATAATCTACAGTGAGAAAATAATTAAAAGAAATAGTTTTCTCTAATATCCTTATACTTACAAAACTTCTTTTAAATTGATGATTTCTTTCTTTCTGAGCATTGTCCAGCTTCTTTTAGGTGAACTATGATGGCTGAGCCCTGTGTCTAGAGTCCTCAAGGCTGAGAATAAGCCTAGGATATGTATGGCCTTGGACAGAATCCTTTGTCTGTTGTCCTTGCAGTTTTCAGTATGCTTTGTATAACTTCTGGAGCTCAGCCAGCATCACCACTGGTCCCAGCAAGTCTGGAGTGAGTCAGTCCCAACACAGCTCTATCCACTCCCCACCTCAGGAAACTTAAGTTATTCAAGTGCCCTGCTTTCTATTTGTAAGATTCCATTCAGCAAATCAAAAAATACAGCAGGCATTATAACCAGGGGACTAAAATTTTTGAATTTGTGGTGGAATTGGGAAGGATTCAGAGTTGTAGTTGTATCCTAGCTGGAGGAGGTGTGTCACTGGGGGCAGGATTTAAGATTTCAAAAAGATCTCTCTCTCTCTCCCTCCCTCCCTCCCTCCCTCCCTCCCTCCCTCCCTCCCTCCTCCCCCTCTGCTTCATTGTGTCTGAAGATCTAAGCTATCAGACACAGCTCCAGCACCATGCCTGCCTGCCACCATGTTCCCTGTGATGGTCGTAGACTTTAATCCTCTGAAATTATAATCCCCAAATAACACCTTTCTTCTGTATGTTGCCTTGCTAGTGGTATCTTATCACAGCAATGGAAACATAGCTAAGACACCGAGTATAAGTAATTGGTCATGTGAATGGTGGAGAGATGGAACAGTGACAGGAGGAGTTCAGACACTGCAGGAAATACCATCCTGAACTAGCTGAATAGGGAATTTTTGACAGAATGGGGACTTAGAAACGTGGAGAAAGGCTTTGAAGTTAATCAGACCCTTCCCCTTTAGGAACAGCTCTAGTCTAAGGGCTGAGGGATGTCTTAGCTGATGCCCAAGGTGCCAAGAATATTTTTCACTGGAGCCAGATGCTATGCATCTACATAAGGCTGGTCCTAGGAACCAACAGACACCAAGGAGGTTAGGTTCCCTAAGGGAGAGATACCATGCTGGGGGACACCACTGTAAAGGGGACTTTCATCTTTGTGTATATTCCTTGATTCTTTTATACCAATACATTTGTGCGTAGCTTGAATACATTTTAAAAATGATGAGAAAGAGTAGTCTACTAACAATTACTACTGTGTGTCAGCTCCCAGAAAACTCCCACGTGGGCCCATATGTTTGCCTTCTGTTTTCACTCTTCAGCACTTCCAACTGAAATTATTATTTACCACATGCTTGTCTTGGTACTCATTACTCAAGTTATATGGTTTGATTTTAGCTAAACTAGAGAAAAAGCATAAAATTATGACTGCTTTTGTTTTTTAAATAATTATATTTTCACTAATTTGTAAAACCAATAATTGATGTGAAAAAAATAGTTGTTGCCAAGTGTAAAAGGGTCAACTTTGCAAGCTGTATTTGTCTCCAAGTCTGTGTATAGTAAATTGGAACACAGCCAACTGTTCTGTGAGGTAGGTTGCTTTGACTTAGAGGATTCCCTTTCTCTATGCCTCCCTTATACACTGACTATTGGTCCTTAGTGAATTCTGTTTTGGTATTCTGTTTCCACCTAAAATACTACTAAAAATTAGTAAAGTCCAGAAATCTGTATTTATAGACTCTTCTTCCATCATAAAATACAGTATTCAGAAGCATGAACTTATGGATGATTTTTGACCTTTTATATACTTTGGTGTATCACTGATGTTACTCATCATTAGCTATGACATGACCTTGTTCTTCTAGAATTCAAACCTAATTCATCAAAAAGTATCCCCTCCTAATGATCGACAAGGATCTCCAATACTATCGTTCATCATTCTTGAGCAGTTCAATGCCATCCGCTTGGTGCAAAGTGTTCATCAGTCACTTGCTGCCCTCAGCAAAGTCATCAGGGGAACTACTTTACTAAGTTCAGAAGTACAAAAGCTGGCAAGTGCTTTATTAAACCAGAAGGTAAGTCATACCTTCATTTTATTTCATGTGATCTCCTTTTGTGAAATGTGTTTACCAGGACTCATGTGGTTAATAGTAACAGAAAACTACAGTTGAGCTGTGAAAGCTATGTAGATAGAATGCATTGGTTGAAAACTAACAGTGAGTCTAGTGGAAGCATTAAATCAAGTTGAGGCCGGTTTATAATTCTTTAGGATCTCAGCCTACATTCTCCTCTATGGCCATCTTTTCAGAACATGTATAATGAAATCCATGTTTATTTCATTTTGGGACAAGTTTTCTATAACATGTTCATAACCTACCAGACCAAATCTTTGACCCTCTAAGCTCAAAGTTGTTTCCTAGCAACATAAACAAAAATCTGGGCTTCTACTTTGTTTCAAGCCAGTTGGGTTGTGAGTGTACCAGTGCTCAAACCCCTCTGCAGGCAGGCAGGTGGTGTTCTCATGTCGAGGAGGGCTTCAGCCAAATGCTTATGAGGAGCGCGGGATGAATGGTGAGGCCAAGAGAAAGTTGACTCTACAAGACACATCCACCTGAGAAAGAATTCAGCACTTCTCTCGCTAAGTAACTGGACCACTTTAGAAAATAATAAAATCCATGTAGTTCACATCAGTTATACAGAAACAAGGGGGAGGGGGATGGAATGATGTCTTCAGTAGGTTGTCATGTCTATTTAGTGTCCTAATTGCTTTTCCATACATGGAGGTCTAGGCCTTCCCCAGGACAGGGTATTCCTCCTTCATTGTCATTGGATAGGTTTTCTGTTGGTTTTTATCTCTTGTATACCTTGCATTCTTATGTAGTCTCCTTGTTGAAACAATTGATCTTTATTATTTCTGTCAAGTGTCTCAATTTTGTCTTTAGTTCCTGACAATTTTTCCTGGAAGCTAGCTAGATCTCCACTCTGTGAGTCTTGCCAGGTTTTTTGTTTTTTTGGTTTTTTTGTTTTGTTTTTTTTGTTTTTTTTTTCTCTATTGAACTTTTCACTTTCAGATTGCTATTCTTTTTGTTTTGTTTTTCAGAATCTCAATCTTTTTTCTGAACACCTCATCTAAAAACCTTGCTTTCTCAACCAGATCTCAAAAGGACTTCTGTTTTTCGCATCCTTGTGTGAACCTCTTTGAGATCACCAAGTATTTTTAAAATTAAACCTTTACATTCTTAGTCTAGTGTCATTTGAATTCTTTCAGGTTTTATTTGGTCCAGTTATTGAGGAGTTGTATGAGGTTTAGAGGCGCCATCTTGGCTTACATGTATGTTTATGTATATGTGTGTGTATATGTGTATATACATGTGTATGTATACATGTATATATGTATGTATATATATGCATGTGTATGTATATATGTATGTATGTTGTTTCTGTGGTGCAGTTTGCCTCTATTGTGTCTTGTTTCTCTTACTGTCTTATGTGAGAATCTTATCAATAGTCAGCCTACTCTGTGTCTTGGAAGAGAAAAGCACACTGCAGAAATAGTCAGAATTCAAAAACAGACCATATGTGTAAGCATGCTGAAAACAATCTGTAGGTATCAACTCTCTCATTAATAGGATAGAAAAGAGCAAGATGCTTATAGGATGAGGTAGGGGTTAGCATTACAGGCAAATGGATTAATAAGGAATTGAAGAAAAGGGATTGTCAAAAGAAGAAAACTAAGCATGAAAATATACAAATCATGTGTGATGAAGGCTTATAAGATAATAGTGAAAGATAATCCCATAAAATAAATTCAGGTGACACCACACAGTCAGAAGGAAATACAAGGGACCAGAAAAGACCTACTGTCACTTAAGCCAATGGATGGAAATGCTCCACTGATTTGTGCTGCGTCTGTGTAAAGGAGGAGGGTGTACGTCCTTTCCCATTGAGACCCAGTCTTGTTAGAGCAGAAAGGTATTTGCGGGTTCAGTCCTGCCCTGCCTCTGCCACTGAAGTGCCTGCTTTATCGCTGCAGTGTTTGATATATCCAGGCTTGGTAGTAAGAAAGGGCTTCACTAGAAATGTTCTTGCCAGCTAGAAATGTTCTTGCCAGCTGAGACTGAAGGTGTTTCAAACTGGTACTTCTCTTGAGAGTACTCTGACAGAGCTCATGGCCTAAGAAATACCTAAGTGGGTGACCTTTCTACTGAGTTTCTCTGGGGCTCTGAGAGCTCAGAAAGCCCAAACCCTTGAGTAGTCGCCTGTGCCTTGGTCAGTTGGCTCTGGCTAGCTCACTCTCTCTTGTATAGCTTATCTTTCTCTTCTCAGAGGTGGGGCTACAGACATATCTGGAAATACCCTTTGCTTCCCTCAGACTGGGTTCTTTTCTTCCCACCAATTGGACAAATCCACAAATCTAGATCACACCCAGGTTCCTGAGCCCACACTGATTCTCAGAGTGGTCACTTGTTTAGCCAGTTGATACAGGGAAGCCTTTGAACTTAGAACAATTCTTTCCATTTCTATCTTTTTTCTCTTCTCCCTAGCTAATTGGACTAAGTGTAAGAGTCTTTTTTTTTTTTTTTGTGATTCTCTCTCAAAGCAGCAGTGGGAGCCAGCAAGTTCCTGGGATTCTGTGCTATGGACATGCTATGCTTGGGATGTACTATGCAACATCCAGAATTTCTTCTGGAATTGCTTTTTTAAAGTGAGGCAAATAGTATGCATGTGCAGGTTGCTGGGACTTTTGGTTTTCTTTTATTTGAAGGTTTTTGAGGGACATATACACCCCTTTCCAGATGATTTTGCCATGTTAGACTGCACTGGCTCCTTACCAATCCCAAGTACAGATTGTCTAGAGGTCATGTGGTTTCTGTGGTCCTCACTTTTCTACTACAGGGTGTTTGCACATCACCCTTCTCCCTGCAGCTGCACCTCTGATGTCCTCTTTCAGATTCCCAGAGCTTCAGGAGCACACAAATCCATGATTGTGTATACACACACACATCCATGTCCACATGGACATATAACACATTCTCACATGCATAACTGGACTGCTTCTTTTGCTTCTATTAACCATTTTGGAGACATATGCATAATCAACTGAAAAAAGATGAGTACCTCTAAATTGTTTTCTATGATGACAATCCCACACTCTTCTTTTAGATAACTTTTGAAGATAAAGCTTCTAAAGGCTTAATTATATGAAACCCTTTCCTTGATTAAGACTTACTATTTTATAAGTGACTCACAAATTTTTTCTTTTTTTCTTTTTTTTCAAATTTATTTTTATTTATTTTTTTAAATCAAATCATAATTTTTACTTATTCACACAGGGGTTATAAACACAAAAAGGCAGGACATGGGGAAGGGGATGACATCACAGCATGGGTGTTCAGGGGGAGTACAGATAGCTTTTAAAACAGGGTATCGGCTGGGTGAAGATTCTGGGGACAGGTCACTATGACTCTGCCTATGATTCACTTGTCCTTATCTAAGTTGGTATTATCTGCCAAGGCTACCTATTTACAAGGTCTATGACTACTCAGGCTGGTAAATTTCCACAAAATCTGCCTGTTTACAATAGCTTATAGCCGTCTGTTTCAATGTTTTTCCACTGAGAGCCAAGACTTGGTGTTAGTGTACATGTATGACAGGCCTATTGCTGCTTTTAGGCCTATGGCTGATTTTAGGCCTTCAGTGTATAAGCAGGGCTGCCTCTGACATCTCCTCCCTTCTCTAAGTATAGAAGGGTTGTGGCGATTCTAATCTTGCGAAGGCAGGTATAGAGGCCTGACCTCCAGTAATTGAAGGGGACTTCGTAATGGCTCCGGTCCCCCTGTTGTTGTCCAGTGAGGCATGATGGCCGGCTCACAAATTTTTAATTCTTTATAATATCATTTCATTTTTCCCTCAGCTGTTAATGTCTGTTCAGTGTTTCGTCATTTGCCGTAGCAGTAGTTATAGCAAATGAAACAGATGGCTAAATTCTTAATTAAAATATGAGATGCAGATATTGTATACAAGTGAGTATTCTGTATTAGACTTTGATAGCTCTTTTGGTAAAGTGTTTAGCATAGAAACATGAGAACCTAAGTTCAGCATGAGAACCCAAGGTTTACCCACGTGAAAAACCAGGGGCCACAGCACATATCTGTAACTCCAGCTCTAACAACGGGGGGAGACCAGATGATGAGTTCCATGTGCACCAGAGAGCAGCAGATGGACACCCACGGCCAGCCCCCAGCAGACTCATACACACACACACACACACATAGAGGGAGAGAGAGACACACAGAGACACACACAGAGACACAAACAGACACACACACACACACACACTCAACTATAGAATCTCGGGATGGGTATATATCACTATACATAGTTTCATCATTTACATGAGAAAGAACTTGATAAAAACCTTTCAAAACTATGATTTACAAAGCACAGTTAAATTGTATGATTGTAGATAGCTCTGTGGTATTTGAAATTGAAGTGAGAGTAGACCAGTTTTGACAAAAGCAAAAACATTAAGTTTTAATAAAATTAAAAATTATACTATGCTATGCATTTCAAAATAAAAGTTAGTTTTTATTACATTTAAATGTGCAATTTCTGTGCTATGTACTATTATTTAATATAATTTAGAATGGCACTTGATATTTTCTCCAGTGTACCTGGGATAATTTCAGCAGGAATTGTCCTGCCAAGGATCAGGACTTAGAAGTTTATGTGACAGTTGCTGGTGATGCCGAAAGCTTTGCTGCTTTTATTTTATAAAAAGATACATTAATGAATATATCATCAATATTAGTATTCTCTCTTACATGTTAGAACAGGTTTTAAATCAACTTTAACAACTTAATTAAGTCAAACCAAAGCCAACACTTTTCCTTGATAAATAATCATGAGTATATTATTTTATTGTGAGCTCTTCATAGGACCAGTTTTTCAGACTATCCTAACATACTGGTTGGTGTCACTAAATACCGTTTCAATCAGTTGAAACTGGAAATGGCAAACATGCAGACTTTGGGTCATCCTATAGGGGGAGGAAAGTGGTCAGAGGGGACACAGGGTTGTGCAGCACGGAAACCCACAGAAGGAAGCTCACTCTCTTTCTTGTTCACTTGCTTCACTTTCCCAGTGCTAGTCTGGAGGTACAGTGTAATAACTAAACACAGGTTTACAGTGTGTGATGGCCAGATCTGTGGAGTTAGTGAGTGTCTCCTTATACAGTGTGTCTGGGAACCTTCAAGCTCTTTTCAGTCTTTATAACCTATATACAGGAATGAGCACAATAGAGCTAGGTAGAGGTAAGGAGAGGAGAGGGACAGTGGAGGTTACACTGTGGGGACTGAGAGACAGTGAAGGTTACACTGTGGGGACTGAGAGACAGTGGAGGTTACACTGTGGGGACTGATGGGACAGTGGAGGTTACACTGTGGGGACTGAGGGACAGTGGAGGTTACACTGTGGGGACTGAGGGACAGTGGAGGTTA